GACTCCCGTAACAGCTGGAGGACTACCAAAGAGTGTAAGTAGAGAACAATCCTATAATGTCTGAAGAGTGTACAGATGTGGAGGAGGAAGAACATGGAATATCACCTACTCACGCTGTTACAGCGCTTCATGCTAACAACCGTGGCTATTTTCACAAGATGCAACGGAATGCTTAAATAAATATGGCGATATTGGGCATCAGAAACATTTGGTATTATATAAATATTCGGCATATGTGTGGCAGTACAAAGCAATCTTAAGTATTCAGTAATGTCGCAGCACTGCTGCCGGCAAGACGTTTCGAACACGGCGTCACCTGCAGGCAGCGCCACCACTGTAGGCAGAGCCACCATAGGTGACGTCATGAAACTTATAGACGGCGCTACTAAAAATGCACCAGCCGCCCACTTCGTTACATCTCACCGTGCCTTATCCAGTATCAGGTTTCACTAGGCTCCACCAGCTGTACCTACAATCACTTCCCATCGTGTCATTTAGTTCTTCACGCCGACAGAAATACTTCCACATTGTAAAGACCTCCTATGACGAATGGTTTCAAAATGTCTTACATGCCTTTCCTCTACGGCAACAGGCCAGGTCTGCCTACATCCGTTTTCTCTCACGCCGCGGCGCGCGCAAACGACAGTCCGGTCACTTCCTGCTCCAGTGACTCTTGAATTAACCTTTGCTGTGAAGGTACTCGTTTTAAGTGCTGGTGTCCTACGCACAACAGCTTAACCCAAAAATAGCCACCTCGGCTCAAAGCCCACACAGCCGTCGAACAGTGCATTTAATAAAAACGTACGCAACGACGTTGAGACAAATATGAGTGATATCGAAGAGCACGCCGATGGGAGCAAGAGCGAGAAGTCCTAGAGCGAGAAGTGGCCGGGGCCAGTTCTCTACGCCGGGGAGCACTCAGTCATTACTCGTGGTCGGTGAACAGCCAGTTTCAGTAAAGGCCACCGGCGCTGACAAGAAGGCGACACTGAGACTTCCCAAGCGCGCCTCGGTTCAACGTTATGCGGCAGAGCAGCGAGCTCAGGGTGAACAACGAAGCGAACTGGTGTTCCTCTGCAGTCACTCACTCCAGATGCCAACAAGACCAGCATAACTCCGGCGTCCGTCTAAACACCGACGTCAGTCAGCTGCAGCGGAAGAGTGACGACAGATCTTGTCGAGAACCTGTGCCTGCTGTCATGAAAGTAACTGACAGGGAACTCGTCGAGAACCTGTGTCTGCCGCCATGAAAGTACCGCCTACCCGCGAATCGCTCGCCGTGACACTCAATAACCGGATCTGTGCCTCGGGGCGCCCCGCCACGCCGCAGCTCTTGTTGATGAGCATCCGCTGCCACTGTTCAGCGGGGAGACAAACTGCGAGCCACCGTGTGGGACACGTCAAGAGACCCTCCCACTCGTAACACTGCTGGACCGACTAGGCCTCTGTGACCGCCCGTGACCCCCTCCTGATCCGCTGCTGACATGATATCACGCCTGGTGGTGTCGCCGCTCCTGATCCGTTACGACGCGCGGCGCCCCGCAGGCCGGCCGTGAGACCGTGATGGCGGTGACGTGCTGCCACCGTCGGCGAACACACGGCTGATTAAATACAGGACATTGACACACCGCGGCTGCACAACCACACCGGCATTGGCGATGTTGGCTACCTCGGATACCGAGTGAAACGTGAAGACCGAAGAGGCTGGCGGGTGTGCACTTACCAAAGCGCCTCCGGCTCCGCCGCCGCCGTGCCCACAAGGACGCCGTAGCACACGCCGCTGGCTGTCAGATCGGGGACGTCCACGTCCTGACCGGCACACCGCCACGCCACCTTGAAGGCCTTGGCGGCGCTGCTACTTGCCAGCGGGCTGCCGCCCGTGGCCATCAAGACCTGTGGAAAGAGACACTTACAGTTGAACCACGCTGGTGAGGGTGTAAAACGCACGTGGTTGACCCTGGCAATACTAATCGGTCCGGCGCCTGCCGAACAGCCTTTGTACATACCCGGTCGCTGCTGGTGGCGTCTGGTGTGAGCAGCGCCGGCCGCTCCACTGATGTGAAGTGGAGCAGCCGCAGCCACAGCTCGCTGCTGACAGCCGTCTTAAGCGTCGAGGTGGCCGATGTACTGAATCTGTAATTCTTGACGAGGCCACGCTCTTGGCCATCGAGGTCGACAGTCTACAGGTGTCTACACACATAGTGGCTCGTTCAAACCATCACTCCGACAAAAGACACGACATACAGGAGAACAGTCTACGCAAAACGAATGGCGCGCAACAGTCAGTCAGACATCGGCCAGCCAGCCTGCTCACCCTGGCCTCGGGCACCGAAGAGGCGGCGATGCCAGTGACGTGGCTGGGCCGGCCGGCGCAGAGGACCATGAGCACTGTCATCAGATCGTCACGCGCTTGGCGGGCCTCGGCCGGCAGTGGCGGGAACTCGCCGACCGGCGGGCACTCCGCCAGAGCGGTGACGTACTCGGACTGTCAGTCAAAAGACGGCTGATGAAATGCAAGACTGACACGATGTCACCCAACCACGAACACGCCAGCACAATGCGCACCGAACAATGACAGCAGCTGGGCTAAGACGGGACACGGACGGTACTGACACATATATCACGAGACAAGCGACATACATGAACATTACTCCCTACCACAGAGCGGCGGCCAATATAACACACTCAGGAAGCACTGCTGGATCTCTAGGCCGACGACGCGTGCCGCCTGGGCTTCATGGTGACGGCGCCGCTCCCAATCGTCACGCTTCATGGAGCGCTGCCAGGCTGCCAGCCGCTCCAGCATGGCCTGTGAATTGCCAGGCATTAGCGAACGGTGACGGTCGCGCGTAGAACTGCACAGTCGGTACGCCAGCTGTTGATGGCACTTACCGGCATGCGCGGCAGCCACGCCAGGAGGCCTGAGTTGTCACAGTCCAGTGTTACGTACGTGATCAACTGGGACAGGCAGCGGATGGCCGATTTAAATACCCCGGCTGTCATCATGTGCGCTCTGTGCTGTCTTTGCAGCCAGCCGTCGGGCCCCTCCATGGCCAGCTGGGGGCCGACGAGGGCCGCCATGATGTGAGACATCATTAGCTGCTCCGCACGGCCGCCTGGCAGCAGCTGTGGCAGCAGGAGACGGAGCTGCAACTGAGCCTGCATTAGGCACTGCAATTATATGAGAGGTCGCCGCCAGCACAATCCTGGACCCCGCTGCATGACACGGACAAGGCGTACGAAAATAACGCAAGATGACACGCGAAACACGAGTGACAACAGATGACAGTAAGTAAATGGAAGCAGACCGGCATCGGTGGCACTTGCCGCCCGCATGTGGCGCTGCACCTTCTTCCGGTTGCAAAAGCCACCCCGGACCCCACGCAGGAATGTAGCGAAAAGGTCCGAGATGGCCTCCAGTCCAACCAGCCGCTTTTCGGGCTTGCTCGATGACGTGGGGTCAGCTCGCTCCGCACTGCCGTACGCTTGTTGGAACTGTGGACGGACGGTTCACGATGCCACACCGAACACGCCGAAAAGCCAACAACACGCGATGTGGAGACAAAGAAACGCATGAACAAACAATGACAGAAACAACGGCGCTGGTACCTACCTCATGACTGCCTGCAGGGAAGTGGACCCGAATGTGTCGTGATATATTCACCACAACCGCCGGGCACTGGTGCCACCCGTCGGTGGCACCGAGCGGGCAGCGCCAGCGGGCCTGGGTGCACTTGGGCGCTGGCGGAGGGCAACGGGCCTCGGCGGATCGCGGCCGTTTAGCCAGCTCTACCGCGCGTGCGGCAAGCTGAAACACAAACAGACTGGTGGAAAGATAAGGCCGACAGCACAGCTGTGGACATGTGTGACGCATCGGCGGCAGAGACACGCACAAGCGAGCAAAGGCAAGCAAGAAGCGCACACAGCATGCAATCCGTCGCCTACCCGCGGGTGCACCATCCTGATGTGCTGTTTCAGGATGGCGTACGTGGTGCCGTGGCACGGCGGTAGGCGGCACGGGTGCCTGTGGAGCTTCCCAGCGCCGCTGCGTGGCCGGCCCTGCCGCGGCTTACACGCTGCAACACAGAATGATCAGTTTGACACGGGCAAGCACACGGACATGCCAGCTGCGGCAGAAGCACATTTACATCCAGTCTGCCGCCACACACAGAGAGGAGAGCTGGACACGTACCGGGCCGGTACAACCTCTTCCGAGGCCTCCTTCTCCGCTGGCGCCGGTTATGTCGATGCCGACGAGGGGGACGAGGACGGCGCCCAGTCGGGGTCGGCGTCCGCCGCCGGTGGCGTCTGGCTGTCGGCCAGAGCTCCCTCTGTTGGCAGAATTAAGGGCTGAGTAGTCTCGTATAAAAACGGGAAATAAACATGACGATAACAACTGCATCTCAAGTTCTATGGTAGACGGCTAGGACAATAAAAACATGCATACATAATGACAATAACAACTGCATGTCAAATTCTACAATAGACAGCTAGGACAAACTTAAAGTAATGACGCCATTGAACACGTTTACCGTGCTCAATGGGAGAGTCGTCAAACACGGGGGCGACCAGGTGGACGGCGGCGGCCGTTCGTCAGCAGCCGGCTCTGTGAGCAAACAGGCACGCTTATGAAGCAACTAAAAAAAGCATATCAGCCAACAATGGATGATCAGTAACCCCTTTAGATGAAAACATATCACATGTGCCATAAGTGTCGGCCATCGGATGTCTTGGCAAAATGAAAGGCTGACTAGACGCATACCGGAAAACGGAATAAACGTCGAAAACATAGAGCAAGTACTTTAAGGGCAATGACTATAACATGAAAACAGCAGCGCATCAAACGACCCCTTCTTTTTTTGACAACTTCCCAATTGTCTAACGCACCCACAACGTACAATACGCATACCTCAATGAGCATGCACACAATAGTAAGTCAATGTACTGCTACCAGAAACGGTTAAAACATGGAAAGAAATAGTATCATCAGGCATGCTTACCGTACTCCATAGGCGAGTAGTCGTCGGAGAGACACAGGCTGGGCAGCGGTGGCCGTTCTTCGGCAGCCGGCTCCGTGGGAACATGGGCAGGCTTAACAAACACGTCAATAAAGAACAAAACACCCAAACCAAGAACAACCGATAACTACTCAACAGGAAAACATGACATAATGCGACATCAGTGAGGCAGGCATGCACTGCAACGATAAACACCAAAAACCAAGCACTGTAAACGAGCAAGGATGAATGACGGGCTTAAATGAATGCTTCCAATGTTTAAATCACTGCGTTGCCTGCTAATGAACACACGACATATAAACACACACAGAAAGAGGTGCGCAAAAGCTGTCGTCGGAGAATAAGCGGCACGAAACAAGAGACATAGTTGTGATACACTTACCGCAGTCCATAGGCCCGGGAGGCGGTCTGAAGACGGAGACGAGCTGGGGGGGGGGGGGGGGGGGGGCGACTGCGGCTCGTAAATGGTCAACGCCGCCTTCTCCTTCTTCTGGTGCTTCTGCTTCTTCTCCTTGCGTTGCTTCTTTTTCCTCTTCTCCAAGCCCCTGTCGGCCGAGTCAGCACAGTGGCGTCGTCGCTCACAGTCAGCACGCTGCAGTGGCCGCTGCCAGGCTGCCAGCTGCTCCACCATGGCCTGGGAGTTGCATGTCATAAGCGAACGGTGACGGTGGTGCGACAGCCGGCACAATCGGCACGCCAGCTGTGGAGAGCACTTACCGGCATGCGCGGCAGCCACGCCTGGAGGCCCAGGTTGTCGCTGCCGATGGCCACATAGGCAATCAACTGAGACAGGCACCGGATGGCAGATTTAAGCGTCCCGGCTGTCATGGCGTGAGCTCGTTGCTGCCTCTGGAGTAAGCCGTTGGTCTCCCCCATGGCCAGCCGGGGACCGGCGAGGGCTGTCATAATGTGAGGCATCATGATGTGCTCAGTCCTGCGGCCTTGCAGCAGCGCCGACAGCAGGAGACGGGTCTGCAAACAGAGGCTGCATTACGCACTGCAATTACACGACAGCCGCCCGCCAGCATCATCTCGCTCTGGCGATGCAGCCATATCCGTACCCGAGCAGCTATACCTTAAACAGCGACTCGTTGCGGCGAAAAACAATTGAATGCCTTTTATGTCAGAATCACCTCGCATTCCTTAATAAACACGCGATATAAGAAACGCATACAGAACAGCGCTTATGAAATGTCAACAGAACGGCCGGCACATAACAAGATAGAATCACCATACACCTACCGCACTCCAGGAGTCCGTGCGGCGGGTTTGCAGCCAGAGGCGGGCTGGGCGACGGCGGCAGCGGGTCGTGACTGCAAACGCTCTTCTTTCTCTTTTTACCGTTCTTTAAGCACACGTTCTTCCCGTCCGGTCCGTCTGTGAGCAAATAAGCGTGCTCTTGAAACAGGCAGGTATCAAACACAGCCGCCAGCAGCGCACAACCAATAAGCACTTTACTTGAACACATGACATAACGACACATCAGTCGTACTTGCATGCAATTTACGTGTATACGTCACAAAACAGGCACCGTACACGAACGTGGTTAAATTACGGCCTTAAACAAATGCCTTCGAAGTTTGACTTTGAGCAGCGAGACGGGCAGGCATAAGTCCGACCACGTCTTCCTGCCACCCCACCGGCAGGGCCGCCTCGGAGGGCGGCACAATGGAGCCGACGTCGGCCGGCAGGTCGTCCTCATCGCTGCTGCTGCTGCTGCTGCTGCTGCTGACTGGTGCTCTGCCGACGTCGTCGCCGCCGGGACACGCGTCGACTGGGGGCTGGAGACGGTGCTACTTGACTGGCCGGCGGTACGCAGCCTCTGCCGCTAGAGCCATGCCGGCGAGACGGGACGTTTTCTCCGTGACGTCAAAGACGTACACGCGACGAGCGGTGGCCACAGAGTGGGCCATTGCCCCGGCCACGTCCCTGCAACAGACACATTTGCATTCGTCTCAAGACATATGTCAGCTCGTAAAGCGCGGCGTTTCGTTTAAGTATCGCTGACAATGACGAACGGCTGCATGTGGTGGCTACATTGACACATCGGGGCAAACACACCGACACTGGCCATGTTGGCTACCTTGGGGTGACACACCGGGTGAGGCGTGAAGAGTAGAGGCTGGCAGATGTGGACTTATCCCTGCGCCTCCGGCTCTGACGCCGCCGTACTCACGACGGTGCCGTAGTGTACGCCGCTGGCGGTAAGGTCGGGACGTCCCCGTCCGGCAGGGCCCGCCGCCATGCCGCCTTGAACGCCTTGGCGGCGCTACTGCTGGACATCGGGCCGCCGCCCGTGCCGATCAAGAGCTGTTAAAAAAAAACAAATAGCTTGATCACACAGGTGATCGTGCAAAGCGCACCTGGTTGACCCTGACAACACTGTAATCGGTCCGGCGTCTGCTGCCCGGTGTCTGTGCATACCCCGTCGCTGCTGGCGGTGTCCGGCGTCAGCAGCACCGGTCACTCCGCCGAGATGTGGTGCAGCAGCCGGCGCCACAACTTGGGGCTGACGGCCACCTCTAGGGTAGCGCTGGCCGCCGTTTTGAACTTGTAGATTTTGGTGAGCCGGCGCAGCTGGCCATCTAGACGGACGATCTGCAGACACGCATGATGTTCCGTTCAAACCATCATTTCAGCAACAGACACGGCAGACAGCAGACAGATCGACGCAAAACAAGTGGCGCGCAACAGTGAGTCAGACATCGGCCTGCCAGCCTCCTCACCCTGGCCTCGGGCACCGAAGAGGCGGCGATGCCAGTGACGTCGCTGGGCCGGCCGGCGCAGAGGAACATGAGCACTGTCATCAGATTGTCACGCACTTGGCGGGCCTCGGCCGGCAGTGGCGGGAACTCGCCGACCGGCGGGCACTCCGCCAGAGCGGTGACGTACTCGGACTGTCAGTCAAAAGACGGCTGATGAAATGCAAGACTGACACGATGTCATCCAGCCACGACCACGCCAGCACAATGCGCACGGAACAATGACAGCAGCTGGGCTAAGACGGGATACGGACGGTACTGACACATATATCACGAGACAAGCGCCATACATGAACATTACTCCCAACCGCATAGCGGCAGACAATCTCTTACGCTCAGGAAGCGCTGCTGGACTTGCACGTCGACGAAGCGTGCCGCCTGGGCTTCGTGGTGCCGGCGCTGCTCCCAATCGTGACGTTTCATCGAGCGCTGCCATGCCGTCAGCCGCTCCTGCATGGCCTGTGAATTGCGTGTCATTAGCAAACGGTGACGATAACGTGACAGACTGCACAATCGACACATCACCTGTTGATGCACTTACCGGCATGCGCGGCAGCCACGCCTGCACACCAAGATCTTTCGCTGTCTATTGCGCAGTAAGTCATGAGCTGGGACAGGCAGCGGATCGAAGATTTTAGCGTGCCGGCTGTCATCTTGCGGGCTCGCTGTTG